CTACCCCTGCTCTCTGCTGCTGTACAATAGAGCTTTCAAAAGAATAGTAAATCATTTGAGGTTTGTAAATATGTGCCCTTTCTTACACATTGCTTAAGAAAGATCATTATAGCCAGTTTTCATAAGTTCATTAACTCTTGTCTATTTTCTCCATTAAATATGCAAAAGCAAAGGTCTATTTTGCAGGCTGAGAAGTTTCAAAATTCATTTATCGAACAACCTATTTAACATCCCTGAAGTTCAGGGTTGTAAACCAGACTATTTCTTCAGGGCTGAGACTTTGTGCATCATATTTCAGGTCAGAGCTAATGTTTTAAAAAATATAAGACTCTGTAGGATATGTAAGGATGAAATCTTACTAAAGTGGACAAGAATTGTAGAAGCACTGTTCAACTTCTGTATATTTTAGAGAGCGTGTCTGTGTGTTTGGTCAAGAACTCCTCCTAAACAGTAAGAGCTAGAACTATCAAATTCAGTATACCGCTTCTTCGTATACTTTAAACTTAAAGCAAGGTAAGATTTTGGTTGTACTAGGAAAATGGGATGTCCCAGGAATAGGATTTCTTCTAATAAAGCCATAGAGAAAAGATACAATCATCAAGCAGAAAAGGGCTGGCTGGGGATTGCCTCAGTCTCAAATCTCCCACCCCCAGGCAGCTGTTCCCCTTTGTCAGACAGTGAGGGGACAGTGCACAGTTTGTTGCATTCCTCACTCTGGCTAGGGAGCGCAGGGGGCAGATGAATCTGGACCTGCCCTTAGTCGGGGGATATGCGCCCCTCCCTCAACCCCCTCTGGCATTGCTGTGGCTCTGGAGAGGTGCTTTTCATCTGGCTCTAAACCAGTGGTGCGCAACCTTTTTCGAACTGTGACCCCCGCGCTGCAGGGGCCACTAACAGCCAGGCTCAGCCCCTGGCCTTTCAGATCTAGGCACTGTGCGCGGGAGCTGCTAACTGCTGGGCCCAGCTACCGGCTGGCCAGATCTAAGTGCCATGCCACGCTGCCTTGCCCAACCCCCGGCCAGCCGGAGCTAAGTGATGACAACGGCCAGATTTAAGCACTGCGACCCCCTCGGAAGACATCGCACCCCACGGGTTGCACACCACTGCTCTAAACTACTGCAGTGAGAGACAGCTGAGGTAGTCCTCTCTCCCTAAGAGAACCTGCATATTGAACCTCTCATCCCCAGCCACACCCTAGAGCAATGATTTAAATGGAGAAAAACAAAAATTGAATTAATGACCCAAGCAATGCCAAGTAAATCTTCTAGTACTACTATAATTGATTGATCTGATGAATGAGCATGCACAATTCTTTATTAAACTGACTTTCTGTTGTACATTTTTTTAACAAACATACATATTTTTGTGAGGGGGGGGACAATTACTAGAAGGTTTACCTGCTGTTGCTTGGGTCCTTCAAGGCTTGGAGTGTCAGGCGTGCAGGAATCAGGGCAGGGGCTTAGGAATGTTGGGGGCTCAGAACAGGAGGCTGATTGTGTGTGGGGTGCAGGAGTCAGGGTTGGGGGGTGAGGAGGTACTCCAGAATAGGAGGTAAAGAGGTGTAGGGGGGTTCTGGAGAGTAGTGGGGCTAAGGGCACAGGGTTGGGGTGGCCACTGGCTGCTCTCTTGGATCAGGTCAACAGAGACTATGCTGCCCAGGTGACAGCTGCTTCCTGAGGCTGGTACGCTAGTTCCCCTCCGCCCCATCCCCTTCATGGTCATTCAGGAGTATAACTATCCCTGGTATCACAACCCTCCCTTTTCATTTGAGGAGAAAGAATCCCATTCCATGCACATCCCATTGTCCTGGCATAATTAAACCATTATCTTGCTTTGAGTTTTATGTTAAAAGGAAGCTGCATACCAAATTTGGTGGTCCTAGCTGTTTACTGGTGGTCCTTACTGTTTAGGAGGCGTTCTTGAACAAAACAGACTTACAGATGGATTGATGCACAAACACTCACAAATATAGTAAATTAACTCTTTCAATGATGCTTCATGTGAGATGGTAGACATAGAAAATGCATAAGCGCAACAGGACTGCTTTAGTACTTCATGTGTTGTTCCTGCATTAAATTATCTTTCTGAGTCTCTAGTATTCAGAATATTGGTTCTTTTCTAAAACTGTTCTAAGTAATACTGTGTGGGTTATACTAATGGGTGTTGTCCCTTTTCTTTTATTTCAATGAACATTGACAGAAAGATATAAACCATTCAGTGTAATAGCATGCTAAATGTTGCTTATATTTACCCCTCTTTTACCTCCAAAATGAAAGTTATTGCTACTTATGAAAATGTCAGGTCTACATGGTTTCTTTTATATTTGATATGCTGAAAATTAATGAACCCTCAATATGTTGTCAAAGCTGTTCCCCACTCTGGTACTCCGAGTGGAGAAGGTGGGGGCCTACAAGAGACTTTAAAATATCTTGCCACTAAAGGCTTCTGTTTAAAAACTCCCCAAAATCACAGATTCCGTGGTTTTGGATTGTTTTTTGCTGCCACCACCCAAATGCAAAAATCCCTTTGGGAATTCCTTCTTGTAAAATATCTTCAAGCTCTTTAACCCACCCTCCAGAGAGAGCTTGAAAAACTGTAATTTCTCTCAATAGTTGGTTTTGCAGTCTTAGACATCTGCATACAGAACCTTCTGACTTCTCGGATACAGGAATCAGATCATGGTCTTAGAAAGGTTGACTTTTTTAACAACAAAACAAAGAAAAAACCCAGAGAGAATTGATTCCATGGGATTCAGGTTAGAAAGTTACAGTGCAAGACGAGGGTTCTATGTGCTTAGCACAGAGAAGTCCAGGAAACCCAGAAATAATCTGATTGCATCTGACTAAGCATTCCCTGCTCTACTTAAGTATCTGTAGTTTCCCTAGACATGAATGTTACTGGATCCTCCATGCCTAGCTCCCTGGCTTAGTTCATGTCTGACCAGCTGTACTCTTGTGACGGAAAAAAAAAGGAACAGGTCACTGCTTCCAATTCAAAAGCCCACATTTTGTAACTATTGGCTCCTCTGGCCCGCCAACTCAGTTCCTGCTTCTCTAGCATTTTTGGGGACTCTGGGACCCTCTGTCTAGGGTTTTAACCCTTATAGGCTAGGGATATAAGCGTCTAGTCAACTATTGATAAGCATACATTTATCAGATATACAACTAGTGATGCGACTAGTCACTCCCTCTCCCCCCACCCCCTGCTGCCTCTATCCTTAAAAGCCGGTTCCCCCCCAGCACTGTCTCCACTGGGGGCAGGGGAGGTAGAGGCACAGCGGGAAATAGTGCGAGCAGGGACTGAAGCAGTCTCCATTCGTAATAGTTCTGCTGCAATTCTGCTTTTGAAATGCACTGGCCCCACGCTCCCTGCGGAGCTTCCTTTTGAAATGTATAGGAGGCCTTCTGGGACTCTTGTACATTTCAAAGGCTCAGCTTCCGCAGAGAGCAGGGGCCAGCAGGGGACTCCCTTGCTTGCCCCACTTCTCTGCAGGGCTTCCACTTTTGAACTGTAGCAAGAGTCCAGCAGGCCTCTTGCTACAGTTCAAAGACAGAGGCACTCTTATTGACTAATCAGATAGTCGATGGAAATCCCATGGCTATTCGATTAGTTAGTTAATCTAAATTTAACATCCCTATTATAGGCAACAGAATTAGGGTTAGGTCCCAAGAGTTAACCACTATGGGTATGTCTACACTGCACGGCTGTTTCAAAATAAGCTATTTCAGAACATTTACTGGTTTACTGGAATATTTATTCCAAAATAGTTTATTTAGAAATAGCACATCTATACTACAGGGAAGCCTCAAAATTAGTCCAAGACAGGCTTCCCTAATGTAGACATGCTATCTTGATTTAAAGCCCCAGGAGGCACTGGGGAGGAATAACTTAGAATGGCCCTGGTGAAGGGCTATTTCAAAATAGCAGCAATGGAGTATCTACACATGCCTTATTTCAAAATAGCTCTTTCTGAATAGGTGTTATTCCTCGTAGAATGAGGTTTACAAATTTTGGAATAAGCTGTCCGTTATTTCAAAATAATGCTAGTTATCTCGAAATAGTGGTGCAGTCTAGGATGTGCCCTAAGAAAACATTTTAGTCAACTGAATGGCTGGAATATCCAGAAAAAAGTAATATCCCTCCCATTCATCACAGGTCTTTTGTTTGTTTTAAGGCAAAAGAAAGACTTCACGAGCAACCGTAATAGTTTATGACAATGGAAACGGGAAGATTACAGTGAACGGAATAGATTATTTACATTATTTTCCAGTGATACAAGATAGGTGAGAGCACCATGTATTTATTTTAATATTAACAATATAAACAGAAACCGTCCTACTTTGTTAGAGCATTTCAAGCATTCGTTATATCAGAAAGGCTAAGATGATGCTGATTAATATTCTTGTAACTTGATAGATTATTTGTCTTTGTTTCTGCATGGATCTTTAACTCTATACAATTGATACTGTGTCTCTTGTTCTTGTATTAGTAAAGACTTACCTTGTTGCCATTTTTAAATCCCCGGTAATTCGGACTCCGTGCCCGCAGAGTAATGGTAGTTCGAATTAGAAAGCCTAATTCGAACTACCTACTCCGTGCCGCGTATAGCCGCGGGCACGGAGTCCGAACTACTGGGGATTTTAAAATGGCGGCGCCCGGCAAGATGCAAATGAAGCCCAGGATATTTAAATCCCGGGCTTCATTTGCAACTTCGAATGACTACATTAACCACCCTCGTTCGAACTAGGGTGGTAGTGTAGACATACCCTTAGTGTATGGGCCGTGAGCTCTCATCTGCCTTTTTTCAAAGACAGTTCCAAAGTATAAAAATGCAGATCATTTTGGTACTTTAGTAATGGGATCTGCTCAGCTCAGAGAAGCTGTCTGGTTTACTGGAATAGACTCCTGAAATACATCTATTTCCTGAGACTCCCAGAGATAGTAGTCACTCAGTCTTATTCCAGCATATATCAATGCAGTAGAACAATAATTCAAGATATTTCTCCAAAAATTTCAGACTACACACATTATTTCAGTTCATTTTACACTGACAAGATTTCTGAAGAGAAGTTTTAAAAAATTTCATCAAAGCAAGTCACTGTGGGTTTAGTTTATTCCTCTTGTTGGCTGTATAATTCAAACACCTTATATATGCAGTAATCTACATGCATAATAGTCCTTTCACATCTGGGTTTAACATATTGACAAAGCAGTACTGGGAAGCTTGCATTTCTTTAGATTACATTTAAACTGCTCATCATTTAACTCTCTCATAATATAGTAATGTTATACATATATATATATATATGTAATCAACAGTTTATAAAAATTAAATACTTTGTGTATCTTTTATTTGCAGAGAACAGTTAATGTTCCCTTTCCAGTTCCTTGGTAGACTTGGAAAACATAATATGGTCTGTACCGTCCTTGGTGGAGGAAGTTCCTCCCAGGCTGGAGCAATCCGTTTAGCCTCTGCAAGAGCTTTGTGCAGTTTTGTCACTGAAAATGAAGCAGAATTTATGAGGCAAGGTATGAGTATAAATAGGAAAACATGAATAATTCCAATAGTAATATGTTGACACACTTTTCCAGTCACTGACTGAGATTAAGGGCCTGACCCTCAAAAAACACAGAAATGAGTAGCTCCATTGAAATCAGTGAGACTTTTCAATTTTCCTGACATCTTTCAAATTCCTAGCAGTATTTCCTCTTCGAAGGGTTTGTGCATCTATTCATGAGATGTTAGTCACAATCCCAACCTGAGAACCCCTATTTAGGTTGGATCCCATCAATGTTGAAGCACAACATATAGTAATATAACGAGTCAAGAGAAAAATCTTGAGCCCAAATTTTTGTGGGAGAAAAAGATTCCAAGACTGCTACTTGAAGAGATTCTATTGCAGTTGAATAGAGACAAATCTTGTATATTCTAATTCATGGATTCTCACAACATATTTTTGGTGGCCGCTCTCACAGTATTTCCTAAAAGATTTAATTAACCTTAGGAAAAATAAATACATATTCATGTCCAAGTCATTATAATTTATTTATGTAGGTTTTTTTGTTTGATTCAATACTAAAAAAGACAACAATACCTTGTTTACTGGACTTAAAGGTAATAGAAACAAATAAGGTGCTTTGTACGTTCTTGTATTTTGTTGGGTTTTTTTGTTTTGTGTGTGGGGTTGCTTTTTTAAAGACTTGCTAGAGAGTAAGTCTGTGGTGAAAAGTGCTATTAAACACATACCAACATCACTTTTCACAACAGAATTACTCAGTCCTGGTGAGCCTGCGGACAAATTAAGCCCTGGATTGGGAGGTGGGTACAGATATGGCAGGGGCCACTGACAATGGGGCACTAGAGGAGGCAGCAGAGACCGAGGTGATGGGAAGCTAGGGGTGGGGGTGAGCTCTAGGCCAGAGCCCATCACAATATAGCCAGGAAATGGAGCCTGTAGCCCCATGGCTGGAGCCTATCACCCAGGGGATGAAGCCTGACCCCAGCGTCCCCAGAAAGGTGAGAAACTCACTGGCTGCCTGCTCCTCCAGCTTTTGTCTCCAGAGGGAGGCAAGCCCAACTATTACTGACCACCCTGGAGGAGGGGCTGATGCTTTGTGACTCCTTTTCTCTCCCCCCCCCTCCCCCCACACACACACACGCACACATTCTTGCCTGGGAGACTGTGGATGCAAGAAAAGCCCTTCATGGCTACATTTGAGAAATGCTGTTCTAAACGTTCCACCATTCAAACACCAAAATGTTGGGGCTATCCGTAGATTAGTTTTAACTTGATCTGAAGGGATGACAAGGAACATAAGTATAAGTAGGTTCCTTTAAAAAGTCTAGGGTCACATGAGCAAGTCACCTGTCCATGCACGATTCAGTCTTTAGTAGCAAAGACTGCTGCTAGGTTCACAGCAAAAATACCTTAATGTGGATTGGAGTCACTTAAGGTCCATTGTCAGTCAAGTATCCCAACTCACTTGACTAGCCACCTTTTCACAATAGGTGGGTGAAGTCTTTTGTTACCTCCCAGAAGCAAATACTTGGAATAGCCAATATTTATAACTTTAAATAAAAAAAATGCATGCATATGAATAGTATGAACAGAATCAGCAAAGCATAAATGTTCAACAGACACCTTACTTGCCCCACTTTGTACAAAATTTGGGGCAAACATACAATAGTGGATGCAACAATCTTCTGCATGTTCACATCAAAAATCCAATAATGTCACGGCCTACTGATAATGAAAACAGCATAATTCTGCTTTAAGCAAGTTTTTGTCTTTGCTTAATGTGCTTTTGAAACTGTTACGTTCCAAGCTCAGAAGGGACCATATGGATGATCCGGTCTGTTCCTCTGTATAACATAGGGCACAAAACTTCCACAAAATAATTCCTAGAGCACATATTTTAGAAAAAGATCCAATTTTGATTTAAATAGTCAGTGATAAAGAATCCGCCACAACCCTGATACATTGTGTTAGTAGTTAATTATCCCCATCATTAAAAATGTATGCTTTATTTCCAGTTTGAATGTGTCTAGTTTTCCCTTACAGCCATTGGATTGTGCTATACTTTGCCATATTGATGAACATATTATTAAATATTTGTTCCACATGCAGATACTTAGACTGTAATCAAGTCACCTTTTATCCATCTCTTTGTTAAGATAAATAGATTATTTGAGTCTGCCACAAGAAGGCAGGTTTTCTAATCTTTTAATCTTTCCCATGGCTCTTCTTTGAGCCCTCTCTAATTAATCAACATCTTTCTTGAATTGCGGGTATCAGAACTAGACACTATTCCAGCAGTGGTTTCACCAGTGCCAAATAGAGATAAAATAAATAATTTCTCTACTGCTACTCAAGAAACCTGTTTATATAGCTCAGGATTGCCTTAGCTTTTTTGGCTAAAATATCACACTGAAAGGTCCTGTTCAGCTTATCACCCATGACCCTCAAATCTTTTCCAGAGTCACTGCTACCTAGGTTAGTCCTCCATTCTGTAAGTAGAGCCTTAATTCTTTGTTCCTTGATTGATACACTTACATTTAGCTATCGTAATGCATTTTGCTTACGTATGCCCAGTTTTCCAAGCAATCCCAATCTCTCTATTAGTGAATTGTCCTCTTCGTTATTTACCACTCATTGAGTTTTGTCCTCTGCAGACTTTATTAGAGATTATTTTCTTTTTGTTCCGGTCATTGATACAAATATTGAAAGGAGTAGGGCTAAGAAACAATTCCTACAGGACCCCACTGGAAACTTAACCTATCTGCATGATGACCATTCCCCACTTACAATTACATGTTGAAACCTATCAATAAGTTTTTAATTAATTTAATACGTGCCATGTTAATTTTATATCTGTCTAGTTTTTAATCCAAATGTCATGTGATATCAGCACCTTACAGAAGTCTTAAGTTGGTATTTTATATCAACACTATTGCCTTTATCAGCCAAACTTGTAATATATTGAAAAAAGATACCAAGTTAGTTTGACAGAATCTGTTTTTCATAAATCTGTGTAGATTCACATTAATTATTTTACCCTCCTTTAATTCTTTATTAATCCAGTCCTGTGTTATCCACTACATCGTCTTGCCCAGGATATATGTCAGGCTTACAGGCCTACAGTTAGCCAGGTCATCCCATTTACCCTTTTTAAAAATTGGCACATTAGCTTTCTTCCAGTGTTCTGGAACTTCCTCATTTCTCCAAGACATATTGAAGATCAATATTAATGATCCGGCAAGCTCTACAGCCAACTCTTTTTAAAACTTTTAGTTGCATGTTGTTTGAACTTGCTGATTTAAAAATGTCTAACTTTAGTAGCTTCTGTGTAATATCCTCCAAAGATGCTATTGGAATGGAAGGAGTATTATCATCACTATATGATAAGACTATATGATTTATTTTTCTCCAATACAGAACAGAAATATGTATTGAATACTTCTGCTTTTTCAGTATTTGTATTTATTTATATATTCTCCCTATATATTTAGTAGTGGACTGATACCATTATTATTCATATATAAACTATGTATTGTCCTTAACTCTGCTAACCATAGATTTCTCCTTATGTCCCTTTGCTTCCCTTATCAATTTTTATAATTCATAGCTTCTGATTTATATTTAATACTATCAACTTCCTCTTTCTTCCGTTTGTTATATTATTTTATAGCTGTTTAAAAGTGAAATGAAATATTTGAACAAATAGCGTGTACTTTATACCACAGGAGTGATTTTTATAAGATTTTTAATGTATAATATAAAAAATTCAAATATTGTAACAATGTTAAGAATCTGTAGTGTTTGACTAAGATAAATTCCTTTTTGTTTGTTTCAAGCTATACATTTGTCCACCTTTTGGGACTAGATTTTTGTAATTCAGATGGTGGTAAGAGTCATCGGTTGTTCAGAAACCACCTTCTCTCCCTCATATACTCTCACACACATTCATACAATAAATTAATGAATGATGTATTTCATAAAATGACTGTCTTCATATTGTCCTGTAGCTGGATTACTGACCTATGATCCACGTAACAAAGAACGAAAGAAGCCAGGTCAAGAGGGAGCCCGCAGGAAGTTCACCTGGAAAAAACGCTAACTCTGTCAGGAGCAGATATTATAGCAAGTTCAATATATAATTAACTGTATAATTTCTTTACGATCACCATTTTTGTAAATATATCTGGTAATAAATTTTTATTTCTAATTATGTTTTTCCTCTTTAAAAAATTATTTAACTTGATCAGTTAAATTTTAAAAGTGCTATCCTCCAGTCTCACTTCAGCACCAACTGATACTGTACCAAAAATCTGCTGCTATTTGCCAGATTCCTCACTATTTGCAGTAAAGGGTAATCCTTAGGTACTAATCATTGGCCCTATGCCAATAATGAGCACTGATCAGATGGCACACACTAGTCTGAGGCAGCAGTGTTCTTTCTAGTCTTCAAGTTCAGAGGGTAGTAGTGAAGTTTCATGAGTGTGTTCCCTCAGTCGAGTATTCAGGTCAGTAGACCCTTGAGAGAGTGTTTGAATGCTGAATTCTACTACTCTGGGCATAGAAGCTCAAAGAGGGAAAGCAATCCCTACTATCTTCCCCCTTGGCCAGCATCTCGACTTGGCTCCCATATCATCTCCTGATTGGGTTGCGACACCAGAGACTTCAGTGGAGTTGACCCAAGAAATATACATAAGCTTCTAGACATCCTGTTCCTGGATCTCTTGCAATTCTCATCACCAAGGGACATTTTGAGCCAGCTGAATTGCTTTGGCAGATGCCTGCCTCTTTGGCACCAACATCAGAAGGGGCAGGTAATCATTATCAAGTGCCTCGTTAGCACCTTTGGCAACTTTATAGACATCCCACACAGGGTCACTAGTTGTTGCTGCAACAATTGGGAGGTCTTAGCAAAGTCAACAACAATCAACACAGACAAGAAACTTAAGAAATATAAGAAACAAGGTATCTCTGAAACTTTCTGCTTTCCAGGGGGTGGGAAACACAACTGCAAATTTCTTCAGTAGGGATTTCATATACAAATGTGCATCGTCAATCAGGAAGGATAGTCTCTTCCAAATCTTCCTCCAGTGGGGATACACAGCAATAGATTTATTTGCAAACAATCTGAACAACAAAGGTTTTGTTTCAGGTTGGTCTGCAAGCCTGGGTTCTGTTACAGATGCCTTCTTTCTCCCTAGTCCACTCTACCTCCAATATGTGTTCCTACCATCTCAGCTCATCCCAAGAGTACTAAAAAGGGAGAATTAATCACAATGACACCAGGTTGGCAACTCATTCACGGACCTACATCAGCTGTTCCTCTGGTCATGAGTATCTTTGCCCCCTGGACAAGGTTCTCCTGCTTCAAACCCAGGGTAAGTCTGTCTCACAACCTCCAGTTTTCCCACATCACTGCTCTCTATTTGAATACTCATGGAAGGTCATGCTTCAAAAATGTCTAAGCCAGCTTGGTGAGCAACCGAAAACAATCCACTAGAGCAGTGATGGGCAAATATCAAACCCTCGGGCTGGATCCAGTCTGCCAGAGTTAGCCCCTGATGGGTCACCACACTGCCATATTTACCAGCCCTATGCAGATACAGGGGATCAAGTGCCTGTTGGCTGCAGATCGCTGTTCCCAGTAAATGGGATCTGCAATCACCCGTACCTGCAGAGGTGCAGGTAAATATAGTGGCAGCAGCCCACCGGAGGTTAACCCTGGTCAACTGCCACTGTTGTATTGCCTACCCCCACAGTAGAGCCAAACATGTAGCAAAGTGAAAAAGTTCTTCAATCTGATCATCATCTCAAACACTTAACATGAGATATATAGTGATAAAATACCTCCCTGTGCTTAATTGTACATCCTTAGCTCAATGCACAAAAAGAGCAGACATGCATGTGTGATGGATAGGAGGGTGCTAACCAGCACTCAGTAACTTAAGGGTTAAATTCAGGTAAGGGGGTTGGCAGGGTGTAAGGAGAACCAATGGGATACATTGCTGAAATCTGAATTGAGGTGATATGCCTGCCTGCTCTCTTTGCATGAGTTTTTTAAGTTAGGAGCTGGAGGAAGCAAGGTGAAGTAATCAAATGGAATACCATGCCTACAAGAAATATTGGACACGGGAAAGGACTGGGCCTTGAAGTACTGATCGTGAGTAGATAGAGAAATGTATGTTTAGTTGCAATCAGAGTATTTTTCTTTTTGTTGTTGGGGTAAACTTCTCTCTGTGAAATCCACATGCCTCTTTTCCTCCTGTTCACTCTATACCTAAGGGCTACGTCTACACTGGCATGATTTTCCGAAAATCGCGTCTAGATTGGCAGGACGCTTTTCCGCAAAAGCACTTTTTGTGGAAAAGCGTCCATGGCCAATTTAGATGCAGTTTTACGCAAAAAAGCCCCGATCGCCATTTTCGCAATTGGGGCTTTTTTGCGGAAAACAGTACTATGCTGTTTACACTGGCCCTCTTGCGCAAATCATTTGCGCAAGAGAGCTTTTGCCCGAATGGGAGCAGCACAGTATTTCCACAAGAACACTGACGATCTTACATGAGATCGTCAGTGTTCTTGCGGAAATTCAAACGGCCAGTGTACACAGCTGGCAAGGTTTTTTTTGCGGAAAAACTTGCCAGTCTAGACACAGCCAAGATATGTCAGCAATACCATTTTTTCCTCTATTTTAATCTGCTTTTTTCTCAGTTGCTCTGTAACATCTAGCAACCAAGTATTCCTCTAGTATTCATTTTTGTTTTGTTAATAAAATCACCTTTTTTAAGGTAGTGATTTGATTCTTGTATCTTGAAAGGTAGCAGGTCTGTGTGTGTGCCTGCCTAGGCTGAGTGGTCAGCTACTAGAGACTGCAGTTTTTCTATTTTCTTTCTCAAGCTCTCTTGTGGTAAAAGAGCTTGGGGTACTCCTGGAAAAAGTTCAAGTGATTCTTCTTGTGTTGAAAAGAAGGAGTTAGGCTGCCACAATCAAGTGTCCATCTCCCAGTTCCAATGAATCTGTGACTGGGAGGTTTTTTGTAAGCAGAGCCTACAGAGGCAAGGTATTTTTAAGGTCTCTTGCGGGACCCCACCTTCTGCACTCAGAATGCCAGAGTGGGGAACAGCCCTGACCACATGTTACCTAAGTGGTGGTGCCAGCACAAGTCTCCAGTGCAGTAGGTGCCCACACACCGGCAATGGAACATATACGTGCACAACTTATACCGAAGAAGAATGTACGAATAAAAAACATTTTTAACCACCACTCCCCCCACCCCATTTCTATGGTATTTGGAGCACCAACACTACAGACTTCTGGGCCCTCAAAATCATAGAGGTGGAATATTGCCCCCAATTCCAAGCCTTCCCCAACCATCACCAAATTTCTGTCTCTTTTCAGAGATTCCTTTCATAAATATATGCTACATCAGGAAGGGCAGCCACTTTTAAATCTCAGTGCAGTGGAAGAAGTACCTCGAGCACAGGGAAAGGAATTTTACTTAATTCACCCCCCCCCCCCCCAAATAAGGAGGCTGGCCTATTCAGGACCTTAAAGAGTTGAACACCTTTATTTGCAAGGTCATGTTTATGATGGTGACTTCAGCCTTGATCATTTCAACCCTAGAGCCACATGACTGGTACATAGTTCTTGTTTCCATATGGTAACTCACTTTATCAACAAGATACGCGTTCTAGCTGCTGTGTGTCCTATTGATAGCACCCATTGGCAGTGTTTCTGTCACTTGCACAAGTGGTTTTATTTTGCAGACAGGAGAGCTCTCACCCATTGGCATTTAAAATGTCCACAAGAGTGCAGCCTTGCACATGTAGACATGCCCTGAGAGTCTCTATTTAAAGTCCCCGCCTGTATTTTGTGGTGATTTGTAAACTATTTTAATCAGTTCACAAAGCTGTGATAAATCACTTAAATCATGTATTCCTCCCAATACCAACAGGATGTAACAGTGAATAAAATAGTAGGCAAAAAAGCTGCATGTACCTTTATCTCAACACCTGGTTACTCCTTTATTTCATTTGTGAGTTCAGGATCACTTGTATGTATGAAGCTGTCTGTATAACTAGGTATTAGTTAACGGTGCCTTTGAGTCAAGTAGGCATTCAAGCAAATCATCTCTATTCAACAAAGCATGTGAGCATGTGTTTAACATTTAATATGTGCTTAAGTCTCATTGACTTTAAATGAGGTTGCCAATTGAATATGCTATAGGAGGGGAGGAAAAACAAAGATAATCCAGTTCAAATAGCTGTAGAAAAAAATTGATTAATTTAACAATATTAACTCATTAGCCTATCTGAATGCATAGATCTAAGATTAGCCGGTTGGGCTCAATAATAAATGGAACATACTTAGTCAAAATCAGAGATGAGTGAATAGACAAAATATCTATCCTTAAATTCCACACAGTAGATTTTGCCCTCTAACAAGCAGGAAAGAAAGCCTCAAGGTTCCAAAACCAGGAAAAAACCCACCCAGGAATTGATCAGTCTGATTAATTATCATCCTTTATAGATCTGGGAATATCACTAACAGTTGATGTATCCATCAAATTCAGCTACTTGATAGAGTTCTAAACTATTTCTGCTCTTAGAGTTGAAAAAGTTAGAAAATATCAGACAGTATAAATGTACTCTACAATAAAGAGAATAATAATTTGTATTTTCATGTGTGGTAGTCCACTTTAAACAGACCACCTATACCTCCCATTTGTGCCAACCCTTTGTAGTTTTATGATCAAATTACTTAAATTAAGAAGGAATGTTACATTAGTAAGTCGAGTCTTGTTCCTAGATATGAAATGAGGTTTTTCAGTCTAATACTTGGATCAAAAGAAATGAACAATGTCAGACAATTTTCTATGGACCTGAACTAAAGAAATGCGGTGTTCAGTAGCTACTGGCTTGTGTGAAAGTTGCACATGTAGGTCCGTTGTAAGGCTGGAGGAGAAGTCCCAGCTGACCCTGAGCAAGCCACTTGACCTCTGTATGCTAGTCAACTCTCCTAAAAAATCAAGACACACAAAAAAAGTAGGCAACCCCCCCTCCCCCGATCTTATTGCAAACCAAAGACTTGAATCCTGCCTCCACTGCCATCAATGGCTAAGCATTTCTTGTCTTCAGTGAAAGTAGGTTCTACTGCCAGATCACACACCTGGACTTAAGGTTTTTGAATAAATTTCTGGGAAAGCAATGTCTG